CCCCCCCCCCCCCCCCTGTAGAACCTGCCAGAGAAGCCGTATCAAACTCTCCTACTGGCTATGCAGCGGACCCTGCGTGCAGTCCTATCCATCCTACGTTTTCTTCGTAGTGGGCCCTAAAAACCGTAAACCCGAAAACCCTAAACCCTAAAACCCTAAAACCCTATAAACCCTGGCTTGGGTAGTTGCGGTGTCCTGGTGAGCCCCGGCTGCAGGTCTTGGGTAGCAAAGCGAACTCTCAGCATGGAATTTCAATCATGTAGGGGCCTTCATAACTAGAATAGGGCTTTGGGGTAGGATATGCGATAATGTACTATAATGAACTATAATGTACTGTAAGTATAGTAAGAGAACCCCCCAAAATAGTATAGTAACTATTTAAGCGCTAAGCCCGAAACCCTAAACCCAGGGGGGTGGATCATAAGGCATACGCGACCCTAAAAATAGGCTTCTAAACAAAAAAACACCGGAGCGGGGCTCCGAAGCGGAGGTTCAAGCAGCGAGCCTCGTTAAAGATCCCTGCTCCTACTCGTTAAGCCATCTTTCGGGGCTTGAATAAATAATACCTATACTATTTTGAGGGTTCCCTTGCTATACTTATAGTACATTATAGTACATTATAATACATTAATTATAGTACATGATAGTACATTATAGTGCTGCAGAAGTGGTTTAGGGTTTGGGCTTTAGGATTTAACCATCTTTGCAGCTTTCTGGGCTGCAGAAGTGGCATCAGGCCAAACCCGGGGTTTAGGGCTTTAAGGTTTAGGGCTTCCGGGTTTTAGGGTTTAGGGTTTAGGGATTCAGGGTTTTAGGGTTTAGGGTTTTAGGGTTTTGGGGTTTTAGGGTGTTAGGGTTTTAAGGTTTAGGGTTTTAGGGTTTGGGGCTTTAAGGTCTTAGGGTTTAGGGTTTAGGGCTTCAGGGTTTTAGGGCTTTAGGGTTTTAGGGTTTAGGGTTTTAGGGTTTAGGGTTTAGGGAGGCAGAAGCAGCGCCAGGCCAAACCCTACCGGTGGTCTGCCTTGTGCGGTTTAGTCTTAAGTCGCGTCCCTAAACTCGAGACACGTAGATTGCAAAAGGGACGATACTGGGGCCACTATTGAGGCTCCCTCTTACTCAAAAAGGAAGGCAGGACAAAAACATGAAGTGGAAGCTCCTAATCACGAGGGTTCCTTGGCAAGAGATCTATATAAGGGTTTCTATATGGTAACCCGATCTAGGAGGGTTACTATAAGGGGGTTTCGTACACCTCTGCTTATTCACAGGATCAGTGCACCTCGTACCTGGGATTACATACATGTACAGTAACGATAGATACAAATGAATGTAATCGCAACCCTCCCCTGTCCCGCATAACCACGCTGCTGCAGGTACTTGTACCCTTACGTACTAAGATCTGCGATCATCCAGGTGCCTAGTTGCAGAACCTACCCGGAACATTGGGAAGATAAACTTGTCCTGAACCACACACGCTCTGTCGTTTTGCTCTACCTGGCACTCTTTGCTTGTGAAAGAGGGGTAATGGAGGCTCGGCGTGCCCCCCTGCAGCACTGCTTTTACCGAACCTCTGATGTCCAAGGTCGTATCAACATGTACACACATTCGGCATATCCCAATTAGGATAGTTCCCTACATGACGTCAAATGATGAATGAACCGTCAAATGATGAATGAACCGAAGAATGCTAAACCCCAATCAAAGGAGCGAACCGTAAAAAGCCCTGAAACCGAAACCGCGATCACCAAACCCCAAACCCTGAACCCCTAAACCCCTAAACCCAACACCTCTAAACCCTAAACCCTAAACCCTGAACCCTAAACCCCTAAACCCTACACCACTAAACCCTAAACCCCTACACCCTAAACCATGTTCTGCCCTTTAGCTCAAAACAGAAACATGGACCTTAAGAGCTGGCATTTCGTGGTTTTTCGAGGCTGAATGAATTTTGTGGGTTTAGGGTTTAGGGTGAATGATTTTTGTGGGTAGTTCTCTCAATTAGGATCCCTTTCAGCCTTTTTTTATAAGGGTGCCGTACAATTTGGGGGACCTACAAAGGGACCCTAATTTAGAGAACTACCCAAATATGTATTTGGGTCTCACTAATTCGACTTGGGTTTCGGGGTATGTAGCACTAAATTTATTCGGAAGCCTCGGGAACAGTATCAGGGGGAAATTTTTGCAGTGCAACCTCAATATGAGGACTCCTGAGGAACAGTCTTGGCAAATATTCGGCTTCCAGCATTTATTGAGCCATAAACACTAAACCTTGCAACCCGTCTCGGCAGTTGAACCCTAAACCCTAAAACCCTTAAGCCCTAAGCCCTAAACCCTGAGCCCTAAACCCTTAAGCCCTAAACCCTTAAGTTAAGCCCTAAACCCCAAACCCTGAACCCTAAACCCTTAATGTAGGCGCCTTGATTCGAAATAGGGTTTTGGGGTATATTATATTACTAGACCGTAAACCCCTTAAGCCCTAAACCCTAAACCCTAAACCCTAAACCCCTTAAGCCCTAAACCCTTCCAGAATTCCGAGGCTTTTAGAATCCCCGGAGCGAGGGGCCCTGGAACTTCAGCCCCTGCGCGATTTCCTCCAACTCCTGGCGTTTTGGGTTTTGGGTTTAGGGTTTAGGGTTTAGGGTTTTGGGTTTAGGGTTTAGGGGTTTAGGGTTTAGGGTTTAAAGGGTTTAGGGTTTAAAGGGTTAAAGGGTTTAGGGTTTAGGGTTTAGGGGTTTTGGGTTTAGGGTTTAAAGGGTTTAGGGTTTAGGGGTTTAAGGTTTAGGGTTTAGGGGTTTAGGGTTTTGGGTTTAGGGGTTTAGGGTTTGGGGTTTAGGGGTTTAGGGTCCTTACTTACTGAAAGGGTTCCTTAAACGGATCTGCAAGGGTTCTATGGCATCTATGGGGGTTTAGGGGTTACTTAAAGGATCATAGGACTCTTAGTAGTTGGGTTACGAACAAGGCAACTATAACCCATTTATTTATAACCTTACTTACTAAGTCCCGTGACCCTCCGGGTATTCAGTCCTACTTTTCGAGTATCCTGGGAAACTAAAGGTCAACATTTGGGAGTACTGTATATATAGGTACTAAACAGGGGTCGTAGTACCCCAAACAGGATAAAGGTTACCTACTCTACTACGACGCAGTGTGAGGGTTTAGGGTTTAGGCGTGTGGCTTTTGGTGCTGCCATACAGGTCGCATTCAGGGTAAGTGCTTCGATACGAGGTTCCTTATTCAGCGTGAGGAAGGGGCTTGGGGATTAGATGACATACACCAGAAGCCAAACGTAGGAGGACTGGTGGAAGTATCGCGACGACACCTCGCGGTAGTTCTTGGGAGGGGGGGTTTACTATTCTTATCGATGGAGCCTACAGCCTGCTAACCTAACCTTGGCTGCGGGGCTGACGGATTAGGAGGGGTTGAGGCTGAGGGCTCGGTTTCGGGTTTAGGTTTCATGGCCCAAAGCTTCACTGTCGCATTTACAGCTTCAGCTATGAAAGCTCGGCTGAACAATGAAGTTTAGGCTGCCGTTGCTTGGGTTTCGAATTCGGACCTGTTTCGGTGAGAGTGAAACATGGAAACTGTGTAAACTAAGCAGAAACTGTAAGGAAAGGAAGCCCTGCCACAAACTCAGAACCGAGAAACAAAAGCAACAACTATATACCACATGCACGCATAACCGCGAAGTGGCTACAACTGAAACCGACAGCACCCGAATCACAAACTGTTTCTCACTTCTCGTAGGAAACATCAGCTACAGATCGCGCAGCTGATCCTGTAACTCCAAACACGACACCACCCCAGGAGACCACAGATCCATCACCCAGGATTGCAGCAAATGCGAAATCAGAAACTTGGATATGCTGCACATTCTTCAGCTGATCCTGTACCGCACTGCTGTCGCCACCAAATTCGGCTTACCCCCGTTCCATCGCCCAGACCGCAGATCCATCACCCAGGATTACAGAAAATGCACCCTGCAAAACTTGGAGTCGCAGCTGATCCTGTACCGCACTGCTGTCGACACCATAGTTGACATGCCTGCGAGTGACCACAGATCCATCGCCTCGGATTGCAGCAAATGCCTGGATTCCCAGCAGTACGGTGGATTTTCCAAGCCCAGAGAGAGCTCATACTGATGCAGGCATACCCGGCTTCTACGAGTACGACTCACACTCGCAGAAGCCAGGTATGCCTGCATCTGTCAGCATTGGCCTGGTCTCGGCGGGGCCCTCGTTGACTGTCAGCACAGAGGCGTTACTGCGACAGGCTTCTTTGATGCCGTCACACAGCCCCTCCGATGAGGAGCATGGCACCCAGGAAGACGTTCCGCGCGCGCTTGCCCATCATCTCGTCCTCTTAGGCAGACTCGGCCGTGGGCAGATTCTCCTTCTCCTGCAATGGCGGCCAAAAGGGCACGGCCCTCATGAAGCGCTCCATCACAACGAGCCTGAACCGCACAACCTCGAGCGATGGCAGAGCAGAAGTCACGGCATACCTCCTCAGCACCCGCCTTCAGCAGCAAGTCCATGCACAGGGGCGTGGGCGCTGGCTGCGGTGGAGCGGCATCTGACTGCAACTGTCCTGCGAGTCATGCTTGGCACCCACCTTCAGCAGCAAGTCCACACACGGCGTGGCCGTTGGCTGCGGCCAAGTGGAGCGGAGTCTGACCCCATTCAATGCCCCATTCTTTCGCCTTCCGCAACAAGTCAACGCAGTCGGCGTGGCCCCAAGTGCGGCGAGGTGGAGCGGGTGGAGCGGCGTCCGACCGTCTTTCTCCTGCGAGTCCTTGTCTGTGCCTCTGTTCAGAAGCAATGCCAGAATCTCCGTTTCCCCGAGCCCGGCAGCGCACATTAAAAAGAGGTGCGCTGCCGGGCTCGGGACACGGAGATTCTGGTGACGCGCCAAAGGTGTCCGACCCTCTTCACTTCGGACCTCAAGGCCGTGTGAAGCATCCGTCTGCCATCGCGATCATGGCGGCTTCAGTGAAGCCGCCAAGATCGCGACGGCAGACGGATCGAGTGTGTACAAACGGAACTTCAAGAGGAGCCACCGGATGGCCGAGATGCCTGCGATCTTCATGCAGCAGAAGACGAGGTTTAGGAGCAGAAGGCCACTCAACTTCTGAAAGTTTAGCATCGCCATGACGGCCAAGACCGCCAGTGGCACCACATCCTCGCCAATCGCAATCCAGAGCCGTGCTGGAGTGCTCTGCTGCGTAAAGACCTTGATGCAGCCGCAGCCTCTGCCCCAAGAACGTCCACCACCAGCGGCGACAAGCTCTTGTCAATCGCATTGGACCGAAGCGCTTCGATTAAAGGCGTGGAGCTGGGAAATGCCTGCAGGCGGACACCCACCGCGGGACGGTGCGAGCAGGATGGAGGTTGCCAAGTCGCAACCTCCATCCTGCTCGCACCGTCACAGAACAGGAACGGCCCTGGCGTGAACACTGTTACCAGGCTGCGGACTCCGATCCAAAAGCCCCCTTGTCGAGTTCGCTTGTCTTCCGCACAGGCGGCCAACTGCAATACGGAAGCCGTGAAGATGCAGTCGTTGAGCCGCGCTGACGAAGTTAAAGGCCGACCGGGCATGCCGCGCTCTCGGTCCGAGATCGAGAGATCTGTCGTTCCCATTCTGGGACCCAGGGTTGAACCCTGGGTCCCAGAATGGGAACGATAGGCACAGGATCATTGTCATCGCGGGGCTTGGCCTTCCGGCCAATCGGAAGGTGCCAAGCCCCGCGGTGACAATGATCCTGTGTCTATCGTTCCAATTCTGGCCCAGCCTGAATGGCGCGGCGACGGGAAGCACGGCGATCAGCCAGAGACCCATAGCCTCCCAACGATACCCGCGCTTCCCAGCATCAGGTTGTTCATCATGCACCAGGTCTATTACGTGCTGCACAACGGATTCCTCTTGGTCCTGTCCAAGAGGAATCCGTTGTGCAGCAAGTGCTCCTTGCGAAGCTTCGATGTGGTGCGCATTCTTCAGCTGCTTCTGGACGGCACTGCGGGCGGCATCACCCCAGGTGACCACAGATCTATCACCCGGGAGCGCGGCGAAGGAAGAGAACACCCATCCCCCCGGCCGCTGCCTCGCCTCGTGGCTTTGAGTTGGACTTGGCTCACATGCAGGGTGAGCACATCTCCACGCTTCAGCCTGGTTTCTGCGATAGTTCTCGTTGCACCTCTCCAGAAGAATTCAGCAGCCCCCCCCGCCTACCCGTGAGCAGAGCACTCTCCCCGCTTCCAAAGATACCCTGTTGCCGCATCCACCAACATCGACGCGTCGCTGTCAAAGCTGATTTCGCCTATAAATAAATAAATAAATAAATAAATATATATATATACACACATAGTATACATATATACTTTCATGCATAATGCACATATATATATATATGCACACACTTGTACATATAAGTAGCTGAAATTTCTGTTTGCTGGCTGATCTGCGGCATGAGAATGGGTCGAGTCCTCCGTGCACAGAACCTTTCCTGAACAGTCTGCCGGGCTCCAGGTAACAGCCCCTGTAACAACTACGCACTTCACAGCCACGTGCCCCAGACTGCGCCCCTGACTTGAGTCAACACACATGGACAATCATGGACATTCCCATGATGTCTGAGTGCTTCTAGCCGAAGGTTACCTCGCCTGTAGTGCTCTTCAAATCGGGACAGGCCTTGAGTGATGATCCTGGCAGAGAGCCGTTCAGGCAATGCTCATGACTCGAGAACTGGGGTCATCTGCTGCCATGCCTTCTCTGCGCACACGCTACAGCAATCCGAAACGTAGGTTTTCTACCCCTGGGAGCGACTTGCATGACATTGAAAGAAAGCTGTGGGCAGGGAATGGTGCCTGGAATGCAGACTCGCCCCGAAGTTCCCCAAATGAACTCATTTCGAGCGACTCACCGAAGCTTGGCTTCGTAGGCCCGGGATCTTCGGCGAAGGCACCTCCTGAGCTCGGACACGACGGCCCGAAAAAAACCCGAAACTTGGCTCTACTTTGCCCAAAGACTAAGCCCATTGAAGGGGAAGATGATTGTGCACGTGTCAACCTGGGGACGAGCAGGCATGGGGGTGCATCTGGAAGAAACAGACACCATGGTGACAGCTCACCGTCTGGTCGCCGGTTGAGTCTGACTACTAAAGGTGCCCCAGGCGCTTGTCTGAGCTTGGGTTTCCGCGCTGCTGGGCGGATCGCCTGGCCGTTTGTTCAACAGGGTCACCATGCCCACACAGACCCCTAAGAGTTATAATCAGGAGAAGGGCTCTAAACGGTTTTGGATTCAGGACTCAGTTTTCGGAGTTTGCGGGCTAGAAATCACACTCTAATTACCCAGACTCTGGGACCATTTCGGGCCGTATTGTACAACTCAAAACAGTCCCAGAGACATAAGATGCACATCTAAAATCTGAAACCCTTGTGCAACTGGGGCTCACTAAACCTGTAAATCGGAAACACTCGGCCCCGTACCTTACACCCTAAATCCACAAGCTCAAAGCCCTGCCCTTCAAGAATCTTCCCGAAGCCGCGAAGCAGAGCCTGGCCTCCCTCCTGCCGGCGCAGCCGCTTGCGTGCTCTGCAGCGGCGCTTGCTCCGTGAGCGCTTCATGGCTGACCCGACGGAGAGAGTCGTGTGAAGGAAGTTAGGAAATCGAAGGGTTCGGGGTTTTAAGCTTCAGGGAGCCATCGAAGGGAAGACTCACACTCAAAGGGTCGGACGACTTAGCAAGTAATCAGGTCATATAAGGCTGTGATTCGGTACTCGTCGTAACACCTAGGTATGAAGTCCGGTGGTCCTTTGAAGCAGGCACACTTTTCCAGGGTTCTTTGGGACTCAGGCACCATTACCCCGATCAAGATTCTGGATAAGATCCTGCTTAAAGTGGAGGTGCAAAGATCTCACACATGCAGCTCGGCCATTCCAAAGGTCACATTGAAGATCAGTGCAGCAGAAGCAGGCCGGGGACTTCTACGGTACGTGATCGGATCTGGCAAAGAAAACGCCGCCGTTGCTTGACACGGGCGGGACGCAATTTGAGCCAACCCGATATCTGTAAAGCTCGGCATCTACTCCAAGGCCACCGTGAACGCAAGGGCCGCAAATGAGTTGGATCGGAAAAACTACTAAGTGACGCCAGCACCCGAAGACTCCGATCATCTCCGATACTAGAACCCTAGAGCCATAGAGCCCTCCCTACAGCCCCCATAAACCCGCCTAAACTCCACAAAACAAGGCCCTGACATGGCCGCCGGCAGCCCAAGGCTGCCCGGCTGCTGCCAGCCACCCTTCTTGAGGAGCTCGCTTTTCAGGATGTTTGTTCTAGTAAGGATCCTGACATTATTAAATCGTTATTGCTATGATTATTGTTATCATCCTCCTGGTCCTTATATTAGTATTGTGATTGAGATTCATGTTGTCATTATATGTTTGTTGGTTCTACCTTCTATGTTTACGCTCTCGCTTTCCATTTTCTCCGAAACCCCCATGTCTGTATGTAGACAATTGACAATGCTAGCTTCCACCAATAGAGATATGTACATGAACACTTCATACTTCTAAGACAAAGGCAACCCATAAGCCTCTATTATGCACAGCCTATCGTACAGGCGTGGCATTAAGGGGATCCTGAGTCTCCGTGTGCTTGCTTTCTCATACGGTCCGAAGAGGCAATCTGCAAGCCTCAAGTCTTGCTGCGATGCTTCCGAATCTCGTACAAGGATAAGGGTTGGGGCCAGGCAGTTTGTCTAAGGGGCTGCCAGTGAGACGACAAGTTGCACCTAGTACCAGCTCAACACTCCCGAATTGAGGAGGCAGGATGCACCGGCGCCGGCGAGTTAATGCTTTAGAGAACATGTCCACGCCGGCTTAGGCTTCTAGTGTTGTTAATTTGCAACAGCTTCGCAAACCTCAGTCTCTTAGCCTCGCTACGAAACCTGGAAGGAAAGCTTCGATGCCTCTACGTCAGGCGGGGCAGGCTCAACGAAGAAGCCGTCCTGCGCCGACTATTGAGGCTCCGATCCAAGAGTTGAAGACTCGAGGCAACTTGGGCTTAGCGAGTTGAGAGCCGTCAAGCCCCTCTTGGCCGTCCTTCTGTGCGCATTCACACGCCGGTCAGTATTACGGTGTGCATAGGCCAAACATCATGCCAATTAGGCAGGGGGGCATTGTGAACGCCACACACAACTCAACAACGCTCTACTACCAGCAGGCTCAGTATTTTTACGACAACACCGACCGCGAATCTCACGACTCACAGCCCCTCTCTTTCTCTCCCTATGTCCATCTTTCTTGGCGCTGTGTGCCTGCTGCATTTAGCCTGACTCGGACAAATCCGGGGCACGGCCTCGTTGTATCCGAAGGGCATCGCCTGAGTACTTGGATTGGACTCAACTTCTCGCAGTTTTGGGGGCGTGAGCAAGCGCGAATCAGGTCCATTGCAAAGGACAGTCTGTGGCGTCTCGGGGCAAGGGTCCCAAAACAAGCGGAGACGTGAATGGACATGTTCGCACCCGAAGCCTGACACCAACTTTCGTGTCTAGGCTGGTGTCCTATTCGGCAGCCTAAGTGCGAGCCAACAACCCCGCTGAGGCTTTCAACAACCTCAACAGCTGGTCGATAACCAGGATCGCGGCCGGAAAATCGGACTTCTTCGCATGCCGCATGAGCAAAGCATCCATCATGGCCTTGCCAGGGCAGAAAGGTCTGCCTCCTCTCCCCCTCGCAACGTTCCGTCTCGAAGGATGTCAAGGGGTCCGTAATTTCCCAACAACTGGGATTTAAGGGGACAACACAAGTAATTGCAAGCCCTGCATGCTGCAGTTGGCAATAGCTGAAGACTGGATTCTGTTGGAATCAACATTGACCTACATCTTCCCAGCCTGGCTGTCATTGCAACCGGTTTGCTTTGCATGCTCCAGGATCGCAACACGGTACCTTCAGTGCTTTCGCTTGGGGCTTCGGATTTCCTGGGGTGGGCCTTCTGGTTTCAAGGGGAATGCTTGAACGCTGTCGTTCTCTGGCACTGCAGGTTCTTCCGCCATAGGCTCTCACTTTGGGCTCTCGCAGCACAGGCCATGCATGGAAGCCAGCCGTTTTTCTTTTTCCTTCGCATCTTCGCCTTCTCTGAGAGCTCGGTACTTCAAGCGGTCAACTGAAGCCAAAAGGATTGGAAAAGACTTGGGCCGCCTTCGAGTTCTCCCCCAAGCACCCCAGGGGCTCCCGTGTTCCCCACTTCAACCAGGCCAGGAGCCTTGCTTTCGACTCTACGCATTGCGACATCACCAGTTGAAGCGGGGTTGAGCCACGCCATCTCGGTCTTCGATGGGGATTTTAGCGACTGCTCGCTCAAACTTGCAGCCCGAGGGGGCCTGCGGATCCACGCAAGTGGCTGTCTTACACAATGGATGGTCGCTCTCCGATTTACCACCGGACAGGGCTCAAGAAAGGGCTGTGTCATACGCTACCTGCGCCTGCATTCGTGACGAAGGTTAGCGGCAGCTGTTTCCTGTTCGAACCCACTGATGATGCTAGCGGCTTCGTGCTTCTGGGACATCAACTCAACAACAGTCACTCGACGACACGAGGTGTGTGTAGAGTTTTGCTTGCAGGTCCCACCCTTGCTGCAGCTAGGCATGCATGAGCCCGTCGATGGGATTCCGCTATGTCCACGGAAAGTTCCGCATCGAGTACTCCATTCAGCAGTGCACTGTCAGATAGCGGCGCGCGCACATCTTAACAGAATTCCTGGAGATCTCGGACTTACGGGATCTCCAGCACTGCCCAAAAAGCCTAAACGGTTCGCAGGGATGGGTCGTCCACCTGCCACAAGCGCAGGGTCAAGTGCTGCCCAGGCGTCGCAGTTGTGAGAACAAACCCCTTGGGCCCTGCTGTCAAGACTGCTGCAAGGGGACGTGTCTCCCGACTCCAAGTTCTGATCTCCAAGGAGCCGAGGTCAAGGTCTCTGTGCAGCAGCCGTGGGTATCATGCATCGGGGTAAGGGCGCAAGCTGCGCATGAGACCGGGGCTTCAAAAGCCGAGCCGAAAACGCACAAAAGGCCACGCAGAGCCGAGTAGCCGGGCTCCCGAAACATACTATAGACTCTATTATAGACTCTAGTTACAGAAGCTTTTCTCCCATTCAAAAAAACTCCTCCAGTCGTGGAAGAGCCCCTGGCAGCCGGTCGGATGAGTGTCGGCTTTGGCATGCTGGCATGCCCGGTCAAAAGCAGATGCCCACTGAATTCTCCTCAAGGGGCCAAGGGGCCTTCTTACAGAAAAGGGGAACTAGCCTGGCAATATTTGAGCTTAAGCCTTTCCTGGATCTCGCTGCAGTTTCCGTGGCACGGAATCTGGGTGATCAAGGGACAAGGCCCCTTCGCTGTGGGAACGCTGTGGGCTGGCGACTTCACTCTTGGACTCGCCCAGCTCGCTATGCACGTGCCTGAGAGCTGCGGGAGATCTCACGAGTGGCCCCGGCAAAACCCTGCAGAAGTTTTGTGCCTTTGTAGTACTCCGCTACATGACATGGCTTCTCGCTGTACATAAATGATGGCATGTACTGATCTAGCTCAGCAACGTTAGGCGTCTCCTAACAGGTCTGGACGTGTAAGTTCACTTCTAGCATTGTAGCGGCTCCGGGAGTGGGGGGTAGATTCGGGACTTGGGACCAGCCCCTCATCCTGTTCTGCTTCAGTCGAAAGCTTTCTGCATCTTCCAAAAGAATGAAGATGGATAGCCCCGGAAAAGACAAGTCTATTCCCTCCCACAGCATGAACCACGTTGCAAGAGCTCTTCAGCGAATTGGCCGGCAACCTCTGGAGAAAGCGATCAGGCCTCCCCAAGGGCTGTTGGCATGGTTTTTTTGGCAGCAATTGCTGCAGGTACCCACAATTTTAAGTGGGCCTTAACATGGAGTTTGCAGGCTATCTGACATGCAACTTAGTGAGGCAGAACAGACCTCTCAAAGCTGATATCGGGACACGCAACGCCTGTTGTCCTAGCCGAGCCAGATCCTGGCCTCAGATGCAAAGTGCCATCCGTCGGGCTGCTTCCTTGCACTTGCAGTGGAGAGAAGCTGTGGGTCATGGCTTTTGGAGGGGGAAGGTTCTGAAGCTGAAGACTGTGCGTGCGTGAGAGGTTGTGCTCGGTCGACAAGGTCGCTCACGAGCACGGTGCCTTAAGTTGGAAACTGATACGGATCTTCTGGAACAACAGGTGTAATCAACTTCCCTGCCCCTCACACCCATTCCGAAAGAGCACTAAGTGGCCCCCCCCCTTGAGACGTGTCGTCTCGCGCGCGAGAGCCTCGCGATGATGACCCGAGGGCGGCCGACGATGTGCTGAGGCGCCCAAACCTGAAAGATGGCTTCGCTTCGCTGCTTCGCTGATAAATTATTAATTATTAACTAGTAATTACTAATTACCAATTTACTTATTACTACATATATTAATTACTGCTTCGGTTTCCGACTCTTTGTGGAGGCTCTGTGGAGGGCCTTGTTGGTAGAGCTTGAGAACTTCTGCGGAGCAGACCGCGCTGGCTATAAACACCGAGTGGCGCCGGTCCAGCTGTGGTCCACCTCATACAACTCCAAAAAAGGCATCATTGCATACACATGATGTGTGGAGCGAGTACCATGAGATCCTGGCAGGTCCATATGAATCGTAGCAGAAGCTCGAGGCAACGAAAAGCAAACCCCCTCGACTCGAGTTTAAAGCCGTTGCAGCTCAAGCGCTCCATTTCTTGCTTTCGAGCCACGGATGGCTGATTGGCCATGGCATTGTTGGATTCCACCTCGCAGGCGATTTCGGGCGATTTGGGGCCCGCGAAACTCTCAGTATTCCAGGGACAGGTGCTGAGCTGGTCCGAGTCCTATAGGTGATGCACTAGGTAGGGCTCTAGAAGAAACGAGGGGACATTCGCTGGCCCCTTTTGCCCAAAAAAGGGCGTATCCGGGCCAGCATGCGACCCGAATCATTGAGACCTCTGCCTTCCTGGAAGGAAAAGTATGGGTTTGTGTCGAAGACACCACTACGTCATGTCAACCACCGCTGGTGGAGGTTCAAGCAGCCAGATGGTTCAGCGAGCCGAACATCGCAGCACTGCGACGCTTGAAATGTCGAAGCTGCAATCACAAGGCCAACATCCAAGGACTTCCTTTACCTGCCTCCACGGGGTAGTTCTGCGGAGGAGGACCATTGGGGCGGAAAACCTGTCCAGAATGCCTGCAAGCCGCTAAAAGAACAAAGCTGGTGCTGTTGCTGCCAGTATACTCCGCAAAGACTTGCCCAGGCTTCGACAGATCGGCCAAGCTGCGGATTGGGCCTGTACTCCACGCCGCCCTTGTACTGGCTCCCTGCCTTCAAATATGCATGTGCGGTGACTGGCGCTTACTTCGCTTGGGATTGAAGCTTCAGACTCACGCTTTGCTATTGCGAGCAGCGAAGTCCGCCTTGTCCCAATGCCCGCGCTGCTCGTGGATGTGCCCGGAGAGATGCACCTCTACTGTGCGATCAGATCCGATCCCCCCTAAGTTGGGAAGATATCAGGGGATTTAAATGGAAAAGCGAGACTGCAGACTGCTGGGGGCTGCAGGATAGGATCCCTGCAACAGAGCACAGAGTGCAGCAGGAAATTAAAGAAATTGTCTTTGCGGCCAAACAGTCGCATGAACCAATCTGCTATACAAACCCCATTGCGAGCCTCAACTGTAAATTGTAGCCTGAAGCGCACGAATGGCTTCAACGCCCCCAGAAGACAAGTCGCGCCCAATTTAGGGCAGTCCTTTGAAGGCAAAACCCGAAGGATCTAGCAGCCTTCGGCTTCGTGCGGTAGATGGCATCGAGCCTCCGATGAGATGCCAACGAAAAGGTGGTGGCGCGTTGGGTTGCTCTGTTGGGTTGTGCGAGCCGCAGAGGAACAAGATCCCTTTTTGCCAACGCATTCAACAGCCAGTGCTGCTTAGCCAACCCTAAAGCCACAAAGCCCAGTACCCTTTCTCGAGTACCTTCTGATTATGATCTTGCATGGAGCTCTCTGCTCGTTAAGAAATAGCGCAGGAGATACCCCTAAGCCCTCAACCCTACGTTACTCATTTAAAGGGTCTGTTGCCCACGTTGGGCCGAAGTGCAGCTCCCCGCTGGAGCCCCAGTGCCCGCCGCCCGTCATGTCGAAGATTCCAAACGGGGCCTGTTCAGGGTGTTTAGGTGTAGGCAGTGTAGGATGATGGGATTGAGGGTGTTTAGGGCTTGGGGCCTTATGCGGATTTCCTGAGTGCCATGCTTCGTGTTGAGGCTGAGTGGTTTAGCCGCGCGCCTAGGCCTTGAATCGACTTAGGTCCCAAGTGTGGTATGGCGTGGAAAGGCAACGTCAGCTCAGTTTGGGTAACGTGGTGGTGCAACAACTTTCGTCCTCAGTAGCGGTGCTGGGGTTGCCTGCTGTTCGAATCGACTGATTTCTCTTGGAATGCTGGCTGGCTGCTAGTGCGAAGATACGGTCTCTCCGCAATTTATAGCAGGCCTTGGGCCTTGCGGGTCAAGTCTAGGGAAATGCTGCTAGGAAAGCACAGCAGTTCGACAAGTACATCAGGAGATGTCGAACCTGCCAACCCGACAGTCTGTGCCTCGTGGGTGACGACGATGTCAACACCTCCGCCGGTGAAAGCAGGCAGTGTGGCTTTAGCTCAAAGCCGTCAGGATTCGTCAACAGCAGACGTGGTAGTGTGTCCGGTTCAAGGTCGAGTCCAGATCTGTACTCGGCACAAAATGAAGGGCTTTGCGAAACCTGAGCCCTCGAATGCATGCAGAGACTGTGTGATTGTCTGTCTAGGCTACGCCGCTGCTGACAGATGTGGCTTCGCTATCCTTCTTCGTGGGTTCCTGGTTCCATGCTGCTCTGTCTCTTGATTGTCCAATGACCAAGATGAAGGAAAGGTCGAGTCGATACGCAAACAGACAACTTGCGCAGAAACAAAAGACTCTGACATGGGTCATTTCGAAGCTCCCAAGCCAGGACCTTCGGGGATGTCGGCATAATTGTTGCCGGATCGGGAATCTCCCCTTCGGGCGTGCCATCCGGCGCCCCAGATCTTCAGGCCCATGACCTGCCGGAAGCAGCGAAACATCGGCTGCAAAAACCTATGGCCTGATTCTACCAGTACAGGCTGAAAGTGTGATGATCCGAGCACATCCAACCCACAGCTCACGGCTCCATCAACTACATCTCAACACCCAGCAGATCCTAACATCTCCTTGCTGTCATGTGCTGCAGGCTGGCCAGGTTACTCTACGGTGCGGCTACGACAGAGATCCCGGCATTCCCTTTTCAGCTGCATCGCCTGCCTGACACGAAGACCTAGTGATAGCAAACGTTCAAGTACGAGTACGAAGACCCCAAATCGGGGATCCCATCAAGCCTCGGCAAGATCGTGATTGAGGACTCGGGCATTCGTGATCCTGTACCTTCAGCGCGTGGAGATCCCTCTCGCTGAGCCCTGAGCCCTGATGCAACTCGCAATTTGAAGACGCTTCTCTCATCACGGTCGCAGCACACAGCCGTGCCTAAAAAAGCTGCGGGCTACCCACCACACGCAAGTTCCACATGGCATTCATTTCACTATGCTTCGCAACTCCGAGATGCTGGAAGTAGGCGGGATCCTGCACGACATCGTTGGAGATGTGTCCGCGGTTCAGCCTTCAGGCGCAACGCTTGCAGGGAGTAGCTTGACATCATAACGCCCCACGAAAGCCCGAATATCCAGGAAGAATTGGAACGAGAAGGGAAGACGGGTGATGACAAACAACCACAGCTTCTGCTCCTAAGCCTCTGCCACAGCGCTCCTCGACCGGGGGCCTTCGCCCGGCATCTCGGAACCCCAATGAAACTCTCAGAAGTAGCTAAGTAGCACACTTCCAGAAGGTGAAGAGTGCTTCAAGTGAGAAATGGAAGATCCAGGACTAAAGCGACCGGTCCCTCATCACCTCACGAGGCTCAATAGAAAGCATACTTCCAGGGTCGGCCCAGACGCAGCTCCGCAATGTCGGTGCAAAAAGCGACAAAAGCATCGATCTAATCACTCTGATTCACTTTCTAAACCTCAAATTCCCGCAAGCCACATTGAAACTGGACTCGCCAAGCCCTAAACCTTTCCAATCGACGCCCTTGGAGCAGAAAGAGCCGTTCATTCGGCCTCCAGTTGGTGTCCCAGAAGTCGTGGTTTCCAGAAATGACCAGGATGTGCTTGTACTTGCCCCTGTCTCGCGCCAGGTCTTTGGGCAAGAGGTCCGGGGCTTGTGAGAGGCCACTACTCTGTAGGACGAGAGGGCGTAGGATCAGACGAACAACAGAAGGTACGACTGTAGAAGTCCATGAGAAAAAGCAGCGATGACACTACCGCTGATGCCAACAATGAAAAAACACATACACCGTCTGGTAGTGACAACTGCAATATTTTGATACTCATCACAAACATGAGTTGTGACGACGAGTCGCTTAAGGCTGCCAAGCCAGTCGTTGAAATCGCCCAGCTCGCTCTCTGAGCCCACCTGAAACAGGGACGGCATCCCGATCTCCGTTCGCAAACGTTGGCATTGCTGGGCTTGCATACTCTGCACTCTGCCGTTCCAACTCTTTTGGGATGATGTACCGGAAGATGATTCAGAAGCTCCAAATGGGATAGTGCCCATCACTTCATGCCCGTTCCTAAAGCACTGGGAACTGCAGTTGACCCCGTCCATGCTGGGTCCATGCCTTGGCCACATCCCCGGAATGGATCAGAATGTCGGCATCCGGCATGTTCCCGGTGCCTCTGTCGTCTTGGCGCAAGGTGTTGACGGATGCACGAAGCACTTGCCATGGAATGGTAGCACAAGAAGATGACATGACGTGAGGAATAGAGCCGTGCGAAGGAGGCGGCAGCCTGCCTTCCACCTCATCGTGAACATCTTGAAGAGCCAACTCCGAACATACTCACAGACCCTTGTAGCCTGGCGGCTCCAAAAGGATGCCCTGCCCTAAATATGTCGGACACTGTCCAGCCGAACCCCCGAGCCGTGTTTGCACCAGTGGCTTCGATGGAGGCTGTGCGTGTCGCTGATGTGCAGGATCCGGACAACATCCGGGCCTTGCTCCTGGCCTTCAGGTGCCAAGATGTGTCATGCAATGTCAAAGCAAATCCTCAGGACTTCGGGCTGCTTCGGGCGCCAAGGCTTCCCTGGGCCCTTCCGCCTCATACAGATTAAAGATTCCTGGTTACGCAAGCTGCAGCGTATGGCCAAACATGTTGGCATAGGCACGGCTTCGGACTCCACGTAGCTGCTTCAAGGCTCCATGAACAGTAGACGACCTTGCTTGCTCCACTTTTCATTACTTGAAACCTCTGCCACGACCAAAGACTCCACACTCGGAATTCCAATACGTGTCACTGACATTCGCGGACACAGCCGCGACCACAAAAGTCCCAATCAAAGGCTGCCTCCTCGCTTGACCTTCAGTCCAGCGGTGGATGCCTCACCGGCAGGCGCATCAGCACGATCTTAGTATCGTGACACATCAGCTGCCATCCATGCTTGTGCCGGGCATCTAGACTCTCCACCATCCTTCAAAGTGCTTCATTAAAGCCGCACAGATTTTCCAACCCTCCAGACCCTTGTCCCAAAACACTCCCAGAAGCAATGAACCCCTTAAGTGCTATGACTGCCCCCGGAGCCCTTTGACAAAGCCCGCACAACACCTCAACATCGGCCTTCGTGGCACTCGTGGCGTTGATCGGCTCTGTCTTGGAGTCTGTCCTCGGCAACGTTGACGTTCAGGTACGGGACTTGGGGTGCTATATGTAGGGTGGAGCAGCGCAAAAAAATGCCAGACAAGTCTTCGAGCATTGCTGCAGCCTGAGTCGATGGCCTCTGTGCCCATGCCTTCTACGGTGAACGACAAAACATTGACCATTCGCAGTTCTGGTGACCCCAAAGTTGCAACTGCTGAGAGTGACGTCTTGGAGGGCTGGGAAGGCAAGCAACGCCAGATTGATTGTTACGGAGTTTTGCGCCGCTCGACACCTTCACCTCCCAAATGGCGTGGCGTTGCTTCTTGCAGGCGGCAGCTTGCCGTACAGTCATCACACCAACCAAAGATGAGAAGGCAGGTGTGTGTTTTCGTCAAACTCTGCTCTCCTCTCGGCACTCTTGTGGGCAGAACGACGTACGTACACTGTTATCAACGTGTAATCTTTTGGGGAAGAGATGCTGCGATACCAAACGGTTGACAGTTGTCACGTTGAGGCTCGGGCATAGCTTGCACGAGTTCTCATAACAATACTGCAGAGTTAACTATCACTAGCTCAGTGTCGCTGCCGTCCCATTGGCACCGTCTGCAGCAGCACTGACGGCAAGCAGGAATGCAATCCTTAGATTTGCGACTCTACAAATCCGGACAGCCCGTCGGCAAAAAGCGCCTCAACGCGACGGGCAAGAACGCGCAAACACCATTGACGCTCACTGCAACTTCCAATCGTCTGATCCAAGGTTCAGCGAGGCGCGAAGCAAAGCCATCGAGCAAGCGAGATGGCAAGTCTCAGGGCAGCCTTCTGAGTCCTCCTTGAGCCTGTAAACCCGTGCCGCGCCGTGCAGCAAAGTGCTCGACATAGCTCTTTGGTCTGACGTTTTGTTCGCATCGTTGGCAACTGCTTACCTGCCAATTGGCAGGATTCAGGTCCTTCCATGGAGGGCTGTGTAATGCAATGCGGCAGCATATTGCGGGCTGACGCCAAGCACCAGACGACTCCAACGACGGGCCACATGAAGGCCGAGTCATGAAAAAAACATGCTAGGCAGTCCCAAAGCACCATGACCCAAGACCGAAACACCCTCCAGCATCATGCCGTTGTGGTTGGCCCTGAAGAAAACCGAAACTTCTAAATGGAGCAAAACCCAGATGTTCAGAGGCCCTTACTGGTACAAGTCCTCGTGGTTTGCATCCGGGGCAGCGTTCCTTGAACATCGGGATTTTTCTGTCGCCCCAATGGCGGTTGATTGCTACGACTCCTCCTCTTGTTGATCTTTGCAGGTCGAGACCCGATTGTTCGGCTTTGTTCCGTACGGAAGCTCATAGGATCTCATAGACTCCAAGTACAATAAATTAGCATTCCGGGAAACCTTTCGGTGGAAAAGGGCAGCACCGTTTAGTCTAGCTTGGTAAGACAACAGTCCATGATAGTTACTTGGGTGGTTACAGTGCAGTCTTAATTTCCCTTCGGAAAATAAGTGAGCAAGGCACCGCCGTCAGGTGCGACTTGGCCGTTGGCCGTTTTACTTGATAGCGCAGAGACAGCTCACAACTCTGATGCAACCCCCCCAAACGGAATCACGACTTCTTGTTACATCTGTGAAGGGCTTTGAAACTTGAAGCAGCGCACCCCGAGGCGCAAGAGCCATGGGCTTTTGAGGCTTACAGAGCCCGGCTCCCCCGTCCCCGGTGCTGCATGAGCGTCTGCAACTTCACCTTGATGTTCGAGATCGCCCTGCCAACGTGGGAGAGGCATCAGTTCGAAGCTGCACTCCAGGTATCAGGCACATCTGACCATGTCGATAGCTGCTACTAGTAGCTGGCGGTCCTAAGCCACAGCTTCCTCTCGGCAATGCTCCTGACGCTTCGTGGACAGCTCGCTTTTGGAGTGGTGCAGGTCTATGGGTCCAGTTTTGGTGCTTCGCTTGTACCATGCTGCAACGGACAAACCATGCCACAGTCTTTTTCTATATTGGAGGCATAACGAATGTAACTATGCTTTGGCTCCCCAAGATATGACAAAGCCGATGCCTGGACGTGAATGCATCACAGTGAGTTGCAAAAGGTGTGGGGACAAGAGTCTCCTTGAGGAAAAAAGGTGCTGCTCGATGGTGAAGCACGTGCAACCTCAGCCAACAGACTTTGTGCTACCGAAGTGCGGCATCATGAAGGCTGGCGTGTACACCAAGACAGGACGGGTGGAAGACACATGGATCACAGCTTTTTAAGCGCCGGAGCTCCCCCCAAAGAACAACTCAACAATGCCTGTCCAAACAGTGGGATTCCGGGAAAATCCGAAGCTTGTGTATCAAAGCTGTAGTAAGGGCGCAGCTGATGCCCACCTTCTCAGTGCAAGAGGTGCCTCGGGCAAAGAGGCCGGAGGCAGGGGCCGGCTCAGCGTTTGTGGAGCAATCGGCGTTTCGAGACTCCAAAGTTCCAGGAACCAGGACCCCCGCGAGCGGTGACAGAGATCTCCGACAGGCATACCTGGGCGCTTGCTGCCGAGGCGAAGAATGCGACATGCTCCGGACTTACTTCAGCACGCAGTGTAGAATTAGTAACATGTTGTTTCGCTTTGCGGCTCCCAAGGGTATTCATAATGCAGAATCCCTCCCCTAGCCCTTACACAAAGCAATGCACACACAGCGCAGTCATATCATTCAGCGCACCCAAATCCTGAAACCCCTCAACCCGAAACAGCTACCATACGGGCCTTCTTCCTAGGAACAGAACCCATATTTTCATACGTGTATATAGATACACACACACACACATATATATATATATATAGATTTGTACATACATACATATCATATGTGTATACGGTTTGCCAGTGCATGGCTGTGTGGGCTATGAGAGGGTATGTATGTACATGTGTGTTTTGCCTCCCGCACAGGCCGTCGTCTTTAGGATTCCTACCCTGCCGGACCGGCCTTGCAGGACTCGTTCTCGTAGAGGGCCAGCCGTGCCTGCGCCACGCTTTCTCCATGTTCGGGAGGTGTTTTTTGGGAGTTGTTCCTGGCTCTTTGTCAGCATCCCTCACAGGGACTGGTCGATGGGAGCCGCTTCTGCCCTGCTTAGTGGCTCCAGGCAGCGGGGGATAGCAGGCTGGGTCTCCTCACAGAGAGCATCTTCAACGGCTGCCTTGGGAATGCAGCCTCTGATACATTGTGGAAAAGCTTGGTCGGAGTGGAAAGACACTCTCCGCCTCCACTTCCAGACCTCCTGAAGGCAAACGACCCCGAGCAGAAGGCCAACTTGTCCGAATACATCGGTCAGCCTTCTCGCCGAGTTGCGGGTGCAGCTCGCAGTAGAGGACCTTTGTAGGAGCTTCATTATTGCTGAATCTCTATTCCTGCGGACATCGGAATTCGGGCTTTCAGACAAACGATGGACTCTCGACTGGGGACGGGTGGAGTTGCGAGGGCTTCATGCCTAAGAGACGAGCCTGCAAAACGGCTTGCGCATGTGCGACGAGCGCCCCCCCCGCCCCCCCCAAATCGGTGAGCTTGCTGATGACTGGGTGCCTTGCCGAGGTGGTCGCTGAGTCGTCATGATGCGCCAAGTACCCCGCCTGGCCGAAGTGATACTCGGCAGTCAATCTTCTTAGCTTGTGATTTCAAAGGCCAGCTCAGGTTCAGTTGAACGGATCCCCGTCTGCGAAAAGTCCTGCACAGATCCAGAAAGATAGTGTCGTCTCCCAGGGTCTGCTGCCCGACTACGGAAACTTGGCATGCTGGCCATGATCCGGCGACTGGTGGTGGTAACCTTGGTCAGCGCAAAGAAGAGGGATGAGGCTGTGGGGCGTACTAGGGATACATTTCCACAACAGACCCTGGGACGAAGCTGACTTGTCTGATATACGAAAGACAGGATGGCTACGTGGCGAGGCATCACTGGCTGTACGGCCAGCTAGCTCAGTCACAGTGGCGCTGCACGTGTCATCCGAGGCCGTGGCGTCTGGCAAAGGCTTCACGGAGATGTGAAAGACCGGAAACAGAGACTGAGTCACCTGGCACTTACAGGTCGTGTCTCAGCATCTGGCATCGGGGTTCTACAGATGACAGCACAACAATGCCACCAGAAACGTCAGGCTGCGCCCCTGCCGGGTGTCTACTGTGGGCCACAGCTTCCTTGGCGCTGGGCTCCAGGCCAACCGAACGGCTCGGGAGATGTCCATGACCTCAGAGGGCAAAGAAAGCCGACCCCTTACGGACGGCACCCCGTTGTTTTCGCAAGGTGCAAGTCCGAGTAAAGACTGGGTACCAAGCCCAATTGGACCGCTTCTCCTCCGCTGCCGACTCGTCCTCCGCTGCCGGAACCTCGGCTCGCGAGCAGATTTCGAGGAACATCTCCCCAATTCGCATTCACCTTCCGTCAGGCTGGAGCAACTTCGATGCTTTCAGACCTACAAGTTCGCAGTCTGGCATATGGAAAGTCTTTAGGCCCCAGATCGCGCCATGTGACCAACGAGCCTATCACCAGCAGCCAGCCGTTAACTTGTATTCACGTCCTCTAGTTGTCAATCGGGTCCTGCAGAAAAAGGGGCACCTAACTACAGATGCTAGATAACCCCCGGATAGATGTCAAGGCAAGATGTGCAACCAGTCGGGCCCCGTCCAGTCTCCCCCACAATCATGAAAGCTCCAGGCTCTCCGAGGCTCTGACACCGAAGTACAAGCAAACGCCATGCGTAAACATCGAAACCTCTGGCAGGTCATGCTGTTTCAGGATCTGAAAGGTTTAGCACTACACCCCAAACCTCACCCCTTCTCAATCTCTCGAAGCATCCGAATAGAAGGGATGTCCGTCCTTGAAGCAGCGGTAGTTGGCAAGGTCAATGCCTTTCTGCGTCACCGCCTGTCCCAGAACAAGAAGCGCACGACGAGAGGGAGAGAGAGAGAGATCTTTATGTATATACATGTATATATATATATATATATTTATTTATTTATTTAAATGCAACCCCTCAAGAATCCGCACTCTGAGTGTTTGTGTCAAATTGTACACAAGTACACGCCTCAGAGAGTATTGCCGCCAGCGTTCTTCTCGACAGCACTGACCCACCCACCAACACGATGACAAGTTCGTACTATCCTGGAGGAATCATGTATCGAAGCATGATTTCTTGTGTTCCTCTCTAAATATCAATTTCTAGGGTGCGGCTCCGAACCATCAGCCCTGAACCCTAAAGAGTCCGAGCGGCGTAGAAGGCACGTATGCAGTATGCACAGCTTACAAGTATACTGCCTGCTATTTACGCTCTCACAACTCGGACTGGCCAGGACAGTAATAATCGAACAGTAATTGCGCTGCATGTGTTGTTGTCAATTGCTTGAGCAAGAGTTAAGTTACAGTTAGTCTGGTCTCATTCCGGAAGACTGCTCATCCAGATTTACCAAATCCTGCTATCTACTGATCAAAGAAGAACAATTATTGCACCGGTTTCCGTTAATGTTAAGTTTACCGCATCAGCATGTGTTGAATATGTCATACTGTTTGTTTGTCTCCTGTGTAAATCTGCCCAATACACAAACTAGAACATATTCACGAACGTCGAATACTTAACTAATACTGAAATTGCTAGTCGGTGCATTGATACAAACGAGATAAATAACTGCTCAGCAGCTATAAGTATGTATTCATTCGTAATGAACCTTGGTTTGCCAAAAGTGGAGATATGAATGGACATACATGTCAGCAGAGAAAATGCTGTTTACAAGGCCTACAACGAGCCTTCCGCATACAACTAAGGATTTGCATTTTC